AAATGCAGATTCCTGGAGAATCCATGTGGAATATTCTGGAAAATCAGGAATGTGCTGATGGATGGGGCTCTCCTGAATTTTGTGGCCTTGGGATTGAATTTCCAGGGAGATTTCTTGGAAATTCATTTATTTCATTTAATTCCAGGGGATTTCTCCAAGCAAGGAAAAGCTCAGTGTGTTTATTTTTATTATTAAAAAAAATATATATATTTTATATATAAATTATAGATAAACATCTTGATAAAAATCCACCTTCACTGCTGTTTGTTTTGAATGATTTTTTTAATATAAAATCAACATTTTTTTTGGTCTCACCCCTCAGCCAAACTTGGAATTTTGCTGTCCATCTCTGGTTTTTGGAGTTTTAATCTGTTTTTTCTATGCAAATTCCACCTGGAGATTCCCAAAAAAATTCCCTCCTCTGGTGTCTCCCTGGATTTTCCTTTAAAATAAATGAAATTAAAGTGTCTGCAGCAATTTGGGGTTCCAAACCCCCCCAGTGCTGAGCTGCACCATATTTTATATTTATTTTATAAGGATTTTGCTTTGAAATGTTGAATTGTTTTTTAACAGGTGTAAATTGTGTTGTACATTTGTATAAATAAAAAGGTTCCATTGAAATATTCACTGCGAGGTGTCTGATAAAATAATTCCAGAGGGAATGCCAGGGAAAAAATAAAAAAACAATAAATGGGAGAAAATGATGGAAAATATGGAATTTTTCCAGAACAGAGGGAAAACAGAATCCAGGAATCCCAAAATAAACAGGATTTCCTCAGATTTGTATCTATATCTATCTATAAAACAATTTATCTATCTATAAAACAATTTATCTATCTATTTATTTATTTATTCATTTATTTATCTATCTATAAAAATTTATTATATTATTTATAATAATATAATATATCATTATTATCTATATATAAAAATTTATTTATTTATTTATCTATCTATAAAACAATTTATACCAAAACTTACCAATACCAGTTTATACAATTTAATAAATAATAATTGTTATTTTAATAATAAAATAATAATTTATACAATTTATACAATTTATAGAATTTATACAATTTATACCTGGAGCTCCACAGGAGGAAATTATGGGAATATTCATTATTTACAGGGGGAATTTATTATAATTAAATAATAAAATAATAATTTCTACAATTTATACCTGGAGCTTCACAAGAGGAAAATATGGGAATATTCATTATTTACAGGGGGAATTTAATA